GGGAGCTGAGGGGCTCCATGCCTGCACACGCTCCAGGTAAACAAAACGTCCCGCCAGCGGCTTACCCTGACAGGCCAGGAGTCAAAGTTTGCCAACCCATTTATTGATGTCAATACTGCAGCCTTTTAAAGTTGCAAAGGCTTTGTTTAGTGGACTAGATTGGCTTGAAATGGACCTCATAAGTCTCGAGCCAATATGAAAATACAACGTGCAGAATCGATGGAATCTCTAATAAAATTGAAATAGCCTGTTATCCCTACAGCCAGCCAATCTACAGGGCTGCTTTGAAATAAACAAAGAACAATAATAATTTGATAGTGATAAAGCACGTGACATTCCTATATAAAGGCCTACAAAATCTATAACTACAATAATAATAATAATCTATTTTCATACTAGTATTTAAAATGAACAACGGTGAAATCAAAAGAAAAAGGTTTTCTTATCATGCAGCGTTCAAACTTAAAGTTGTTGAATATGCAGAAGCAAACAATAATTGCACCATTGCTCGTGAATTCTGTATCAATGAGAAGCAAGAGAATGGCAAAAAAATAAAACAACACTAAAAGACATGCCGAGAAGCAAGAAAAAAATGTCTAACAAGGTGAGCTTCATTTCCTGAGCTAGAGAAAGATCTCAATAATTGGGTTGTTGATTGTCGACAAAATGGGTACATTGTCACTAGAACTGGAATTCGTCTGCGTGCTCTGCAAATGTCGAAAGACGACAATTACAAGTCAGTAAAGCCGTCAATGTTTGTCGCATCAGCGGGTTGGTGTACTCGCTTCATGAACCGTCATGGTCTCTGTCTTCGTCAGCGAACAAAGCTGCCTAGAGATCTGGAAGAAAAAAAAAAATCGAATCTTTCCAAAGATTATTATAAAATATCGAAAGGAATATGCATTTGAACTGTCACAAATAGGAAATATGGATGAAACACCAATGACATTCGATCTCCCGAGCAACAGAACGGTAACCGGTGTTGGTGAAAGAACAGTTTTAATTAAAACCACTCTCCATGAAAAAATCCATTTTACGGTGGTTTTATCATGTTTGGCAAATGGGGCTCCCTCCTGTTATTTTTAAAAGAAAAACCTTGCCTAAAACCATGAAATTTCCTGCAGGTGTCATCGTACATGCACACGAAAAGGGATGGATGAAAGTGGGACTATTGAATGGCTGGAAAAAGTGTGGAATAAGAGACCAGGAGCACTTTTCAAGAAACCTGCTATGCTCGTTTGGGACATGTTCAGGGCACACAAGACGGATGAAGTGAAAAATGTGGCCAAAAATATGAAAACTATTTTGGCTGTAATACCTGGAGGCTTAACTTCAGTTCTACAACCGCTTGATGTCTGCCTGAACAAACCCTTTAAAGACAGGCTACACAAAATGTGGTCTGAATGGATGTGCTCAGGCATGACGAAGTTGACAAAAGGCTGAAATCTTATGAAGCCCAAAATCAATCTGGTCGCCCAGTGGATCAAGGACGCGTGGGTGTCCATTCCCTCGGAAATGGTAGAAAAATCATTTAGGAAATGCTGTATCAGCAATGCACTTGATGGGTCAGAAGATGATGCCATATTTGATGATGACACAACAGAGGCTGATGATGAGAAGGAATCTGAGTCTGACAACAACACTGCCGACATCTACGATGACAATGCAGGTGCAGCTGTGACTGAAGCCAAGTTTAATTAACTGTTTGGTGAACCAGAGACTGATTCAGACTTTGAAGGATTTTAAGACTATTTAAAGTCTCATATTGTTCTAAGTTAGTTGTTTTAAATATCCATTTACTGATTTTAAATATTGACTGTAATTTTGAAGGTGAATACGTATTTGTTCAATTATCATAACAATAGGTTTTTTGTTAGATTACATTAAAATAATTCTAGCAAAACTTGAGTGTTTGTGATGCCAGCTTTTAAAATATAGCAGGGGTCGGAAAACTTTGGCTCCCTTCCCGCAGCTCCCATTGGCTGGGAACGGCAAACCGCAAACACTGGGAGCTGAGGGGGCTCCAAATAAACAGAACATCCTAACCCGCCAACAGCATACCCTGACGGGCCGGGCGCCAAAGTTTGCCAACCCCTGAAATCTAGGGTCGACTTATGAAAGGATCCTACAGTTTTAGCTATTTTTACCTAACCATCTTGGGGGGGGTCGGCTTATAAATGAACGGGCTAATGAACGAGTATATACAGTAATTATTCTTCTTTTAAGGAACCCGGATAGTATATTACAGTGTGAAGTTATGTTTTAGCATTGGAAATATAATTTGGCAGTGAGATATTCACCAGCGGCTGGAGGGTGCCAGTCCTCAGGAAAACACTAAATGAATGGCAACTTCCAGCAGTCAAAAAAAGGGAGAAAAGGAACAAATGGATGATTTTTCATAACTTTCATAAAAAGTCATGTCTTTACACGGAATGGGTCAGGGCAACATTTTCAACCTCTGCCCAGGGCAACTGACACAATTAATCAGTCACCAAGTACTTATTTCTGCGAAGTGCAGCAAAACTGGCAATTGGGTGTGGAGGGGAAAAGGCTGAATTCTTTTGTGTTACAATTGTTCCCTTCTTACTACTGAATATGGCAAATAAGTGCCTTGCCAGATTCCTGTTCACCGGTTAATATCAAATTGAGATCCATCTACTGTATCAGAGACCTGACTGGCTGGGTAAGAGACATAGGGGTTCCAAAAGGATGCATTTATTTCTAATTGTTGCTTTCACTTTCCCTCTTAACCAAGATGGGATTTCAATCAAAGTTGTCCTATTTTGTGACTGGAATTACAGTTTTTTAGCCATCTAATAAATTCTTCTTAACAAATTCCCAATTTTCATTCAATTTTGTCTAAATTTTTTCTCCCACTCAATTTTTCCCAGCTTTGGGAAATTCTCCCTTTGGAAGCAGCAACTATATATTTTATACTGGTTGGGACTGTCCTTTGTTTGCCCATACTGAATGTAATC